AGCACTTAGTATTGAACTGATACTGTTACCGTTTCTGAATCGATCAGAGGAGTTCCACTGATTTTTCAAACTTTCTGCATAATTATATAGTTCAGATGTGAACATAGTCATTCAGAGTGGTTTGATGTGAAATATTCTGGTCCAGAGAGATTTAGCAAGCCAGAATTATTCACATTGGAGGTGACAGAAACCAGACATCTGAAGCATTGAATGCCTTCAAAAGCTGTCTCACAAAGAATGTTTACACAAAATGGTCACAAATACACAATCAAGGTATTGTTTTATCATAGTTCTGAGAAAATATTTTGGTCTAAAAGTTTTTTATTACATCCATTTATGATGGAGGGGTGTTGTAAGGCCAAATTGTTCCCAAAGATTTTTTTTAAGGTTTTGCCACTATTTTACCATTATTAACATTACACATAAGAACTCAGAAGACACATGTAGGTTCACTGATGGTTTAAATGATAAATGAAATATGTGTTAAAATTCTAATATATATTTGTGTTGTAGACATTGTCACCCCTGTAAAGAAATGACTCAGTAAGTTTCTCAACAATGGACTATTTCAAACCACTATGAATGACTTTGTTCACTTAACAATTGAATTATGCAGAAATTTTGAAAATCGATGGAATTTCCCTGTAAAACAGCACTGGTACTGGCACTGAAGCCAGCAAAAGCAACTGTTCATAGCTCATCCAACCAGGAAAAATTCAAGGTTAGTATGTTATATAATAATATTTTTTAATGGAATATAGGAATTATAGGAGTTATAGGCACTTATCATATATAGTCAGGTTAGACAGAGCTCACTGTTGGCACATATTGGCAGATAAAATCGGTGTTGGCCACAAAATGTTTATATCGGTCAGGTCCTATTAGTGACAGCCCTACACTCTTTTACTTACTCCACCAAAACGTCCATCTCTTAATAAATTTAGTCATAACCTGTGGTTAAATTGGGCGCCTGGGCGCCTGGCCTGACATTTCCTTCTGGCACTAACAAACATGTGATCCAAACTCTTGACACATGACATCAGTTTATCTTCCTTCATTGGTGAATACAGTAATTAGTTTTGCTAGGAACATATAGACAGGTGGCTATATACAGTACATGAATTGGCAGATAGTCTGTGCCTTATTGTGGAAAAAAGAGGGGTGAGCTTTTATTTGGCAGTCCCAGTGAGGTCCCCCATGTTCTCATGTCAGGACACCTCTCACCTCCTTGGGAAAACATGGACAGCAACATTTATCCTCTACAGCGCAAAACCCTCACATACAAATTACTGACAGCTGAAAGAGTTTCAGCAGAGGCTGGTGGTAATTCGTACTGCACCTGTAAAGACCTAAAGGTGCCAAGCTTAGATGACAACATAAAAAATAAGGCAAACGATTATCTTCTGCAGAATCATCGCAATAAACAACATCGTGATCCGGATTCAGTACAACATGTGACCATTACAGAGCCTCACCCTATAGCTTGAATATTCCATGATGGTACTGTAATCACTTTATTGTTACCAAATGAGAAAGCTTTGCATGTTATTTCCAGCATTCTTTTACAAGTCTGAAAATCTATGTATATCTTGTGGCATAATCTACAATAGTTTTTAAAGCCATTAAGAACAAAAGTAAAAGATGTTCATGTTTTCAGCCGAAAACATAACAGAAAAATGTACAGAATCCTTAACCAATAACAGTAGTGACTGTCTCAGTAGTTAGATTATTTTGTATATTATCTTATATCTAATCTCCTCAGTGGGGCAGCATGGTGGCGCAGTGGGTAGCGCCGTCGCCTCACAGCAAGAAGTGCCTGAGTTCGATTCCCCGGCCAGGTGACCAGGGTCCTTTCTGTGTGGAGCATGTTCTCCCTGTGTCTGTGTGGGTTTCCTCCCACAGTCCAAAGACATGCAGTCAGGCTAATTGGACATGCTAAATTGCCCCTTGGTGTGAATGTGTATGTTTGTCTGTCTGTCTGTCTGTCTGCCCTGTGATGGACTGGTGACCTGTCCAGGGTGTATCCTGCCACCCAATGACTGCTGGGATAGGCTCCCATGACCCTGAAGGGTAGGTGGCTTAGAATATAATCTCCTGAAAAATAACAACTTTTACTTAATTGTCATATTGACTTGAAATGAAATAAATAAAGGTCTCTGACTTCTGCACAGTACTGTATGTGTGTTGTTAATAAGCTGGTGATGTCTGAAATGTCATTAGGAAATGGCAGGCAAGGGGAACTGTGGAAGTCAAGGCAAGATCTGGAAGATAAAGAAAACTCTCAGATAACACTGCTTATATTCTGGCCAAAAGGCAAAGCAAAACACTCATATGACAGCAAAGGACCTGTCTAAAGTTTTAGCTGAGACAGGAGTGGTGGTGCCCCATTCTACTGTAAAGTGTTTCTTGCATAAACATGATCTGCACATTAGAGTCGTCACAAGAAAACCTTACCTGTGACCCCATCACAAAAGTCAAAACTGAAGTATGCACAACAACATCCAGATTAGCCAGAGCCATTTTGAAAATATGCACTATGGATTGATAAATTAATTAAACAATTACCATATTACCAATTACCATAAAAAGACACGATCACCAATAGTATTTTTGTAGAAAAAAGGAATGATCTAAAACATACCTCAAAATCCACCTTGTACCTTTTTCTCCTCACATAATTTAAAAGTAACAGCAGAAAAGTAACATGCTAAAATGTTAATTAAGTAATATTGCTCAAAAAATTCAAGAGAAAGCAAGGTGTCCTCAAGCTATGCGGTGCAATGTAATGTGATTTCTTCTCATAGACCCCCTCACAAACATTTAGCTAACAAAAGATAGTAAACAGTCAACAAGGTATTAGATCTGACCAGTTAGTAACCTCTGTCCTTCTTTCACTCCCTTTCCCTACAAAACAAAATATTTCTCCCCCATTTCTTTCAGCATTTCTCTCTTTTTCCTGCTCACCCCCTCCAAAACAAGCCTCTGTCCCATCAGGACCCCCTGTAGCAGAGTAACAGAGAGCGAGGTTTATTATTAGATCTGGTCAATACGAGAGGGACGCATGGGCCAAAGCAAACAGCCTCTGAGACACTGAGTGCTTGTTTTTTCGAGCTCCATGAATTTCCAGGGAAAACATAAAGCATCAGCAAAGTTCATGTTACCATTTACTTCACTGATGGATATACACTGAGAGTGAACCTTAGGTGACCTAGAACTGAAGTTAACAAACCATATAAAGGTTCTATATCACCTAAACTCTTAATTGGTGGACTTAATTGGTGGACTTTGGACTTTCTTCTAACAAAATATGCACTAACAGAAGTTATCACAATTCCATGTTGAAAGTAAGGTCTGGTACACATACTACCTCTATGTGACATCAGTGATGCAGCAGTGTCACTGCATGCACTGGCCATTCTCACATATTTCACCTTCCTGTAAAGCAGTACAGTGGGCATATAATCATCCTGCTTATAACCAAGTTCTACAGACATCCTTTTTCCAAATGGATAAACAGTCAGATCAGCTCTTTTACTTAACTAAAATAAAAAGATACTTCTTAGAAGAGAATGCTGCATTTGTTAACCCTTGGCAGTGTGATAATGTGTAATTATAGTATTTGGGTTTTTGTTTTAATCCCTGTTTTTCTGACTTTTTCTGACTGTATTTCGCTGTGTATTGCATGCGGTGTGGTCTATGTCAGTAGTTCCCAACTCTGGTGCTAAAGTATCAGCCTGATAATTGTTATTTAACAAGCCGTTCTTAAGTTGAAGTAGGTATGTTACAGCAGAAAAACACTAAAATGTGCAGGACCAGGGTTGGGAAACTGCACTTTGGATTAGTGTTTTTTAAAGTATGGGTCGCAATTTACCAGTGGGTTGCAGTGTGAGTATGAGGGGGTTGCGAGGAAGCTGGAAGAGGGGATGTTTTTTGTTTTTCCATGAGGGCACAGCTAAATGAAACACATTTTGAATCAGAGGCAGAAGCATTCCATTTCTACACAGTTATCAATGTGACCTTTTATACCAGCAACACAAGGCAACCACTAAGTGTACGTAACGTTTCATGCCAACAATGGAAAAAGTGACACATGTTGTTCTCAAAGCTTCCAGTCTATATTTGCTGCTTACCACAAGCTATATGCCACTAGAATCAGGTAGAAAATATTCCCGTTTATCACTCATGACTGTTCATTTCTTGGTGAAGCTTTAGTGAACATTATGCTGAATGTAACAGTGACAGTACAGAGCTGTACAAAGTACAGAGAGTAAAAAATCAGAACAAATATAAATAAGATATATAATGCTTAACTTTAAAATAATAATGAAATTTATTATGCCCTGCGATGGACTGGCGACCTGTTCAGGGTGTATCCTGCCTTCCGCCCAATGACAGCTGGGATAGGCTCCAGCACCCCACCGCGACCCAGAAGGATAAGCGGTTTAGATGATGTGTGTGTGTGGGTGTGTGTGGGTGTGTGTGTGTGTGAAATGTATTAATGTGTTTAAATTTAAGACAATAGCTGAATGCATTGCATGTAAATATGGTATATAATAGTTACTAGATTTCTGTTACTGAAGAAAATGACATCTGTTCTGAATGGCTGTCCTGTATGCAGTTGGGGCTGAAATGCTCCTTTTAACTTCAGTGCGAATAGGTGGAGCTAAGCTGCCGTAGGCAGTTCAGTCTTTCATGATATGGGTCCTTTAAGTACTGACGATATCCACAATAAGCTTGCAAAGTGAATTGTCTATCACAATAAGAAAATGCATTGCAATAATTATTTATCATAATATTGATAGTGATAACGCATCATCATTTCAGCCCACCTTTAGCTGAAAGTCATCCAGTGACAGAGCAGTGGTCCATAAGGCATAGCATGAGAGTCTACTCTTTAAGAAGGGTTTTTCCAGACCAGTATGAATCACTAATGCACCAATTGCTCTCAAATGTTGTGTAATTTGTGTCTTAGTAGATGGAAAAACACCTCAATGGCTTACCTTCACCTCACATTTCTTGTGGCAGGACAATTTGCACACTGGAAGGAAAACACAGGAAACAGAGCAGTTAAAAAACTGCAGGGGAACCCCATAGTACAAGTAAATTCTTTCACAACAAAGCATTTGATGTCATGGTTGCTTCACATACAGATGTAACTAAACAAATGTTTTATTTTTATTGCAGTTTCTTACAATTGCTAACAAGCATTTTCAGTAAAGCAGTTCAGCATTTCAGCAGTTCTCGTTACACAGTTAGCACAACAAAACCATACTGGACCGTCCACTATATCGTGTTTATTAAATGTATACTGAATATAAGCAAGGAAAAATAATGTTCATGAGTGTTGTTGTGCAAACTGTGTGAAGAGTTTTGAAAAAGAGAACACTGTACTGAAAATGTTTGTTAGCAACTGTAAAAAACTGTAGGTGTGCTGTGAATGAGAACATCCACATCATGCTAGAGTTCTGTTTGTGGACTTCAGCTCGGCTTTCAACACCCCAGTGCCAGAGCTGCTGCAGGTCACACTCTCCCAGATGTCTGAGCCAGATCCCATCTGACAGTTGATCATGGTTGATCATCATCTTCACAAATAGCAGATAGCAGGTGTGACTTGGAAAGCACATCAAACCCCGGGACCCAGAGTACCACAGGGTTATGTGCTCTCACCCCTTCTCTTCAGTCTCTACACCAACGACTGCACCTCCAAACAACCAGCTGTGACGATCCGGAAGTTTGCACATGAAACCACGAGCAACCACCTGCTGCTGAACATGCAAAAGGCTGTAGAGGTGGTGGACTTCAGGCGCCCCCTTCTTTACCCTCCCACAACATCAACAGCTCTGTGGGGTCACTCAGGTTTCTGGGCACAACCTGACCCGAAGTGGGAGAGGCACACTGTCTCCATAGCCAAGAGAGCTCAACAGAGAATGTTCTTTCTGAGAGAGCCAAAGAAATTAAACTTGCCGCAGAGCCTGATGATTCAGATCTACACAGGGATCAAGTCCATCCTCACATCATCCATGACCATCTGTTTTAGTTCCTCCACCTCAAAAGAACAAGTTAAACTCCAGCGCATGATAACAGGGGAGAGGATCATTGGATGTAGTCTGTCCACGCTTCATTACATCCACAACAACAGGGCCGTGCAGGACACAGTGGACACCTCAGACTTAAATTTTAAACTAAACAAAACAAAACTAACAAAACTTCTTACTGTATTACAGCAACTCCTCTGTTTCACAACTGTACAAATGTTTTTACAAATGTGCATATCATTCTGCAATATTCTGTATATAATAGTTATTATTTTACCTGCATATGTATAGATATTCATATCTGCATATGCACAGATATTCACACATCTTTTTAGGTCTTTTCACATTGCCTCTTTATTATCCTTTCTTAGTCATTATTCTATTTATTATATATATTTTTATTTGTTAGCCTACTTAGTCAAATCCTTGTTAATAGTCTGTGTGCTTGTATGGCCTGTTCAGTATGTTACATGTGTGCACTCACCAGGACAAATTCATTGTGTGTGTAACATACAAGGCAAATAAAGTGATTCTGAGTCTGATTCTGAACAGCTGGACAAATGATGCAGAGCAGGTACAGAAAGCATTTACAGTATCTGTGACTTTTTCTCTTTGCTAGATTATGTAAAGTACTGGATTTTACACTTCTATTGCTTCATTTGTTGCAATAAAGATATACTATTCAGTTTTGTATTGTTATTGTTATTGAGTTTTTTTAGTTTGTTTTTAGTTTGTTTGTTTTTTCTTTTTTCATTCACTTAAAAAAGCGTTCTTCAGTTCAGCCTAAAAAATGTATTTCATGACGAAACAAGCAATTTAACTGGTTTTGTTCAACCCAGACAAATACTTCCAATGAACAATGCAAGACAAATTACATTTTAGTTCAGATGAACGAAATTTTTTTTTTTTTTCATCAATTCAAACCTCAAAATCACTTCAAATCAGCCTCTGACCTGTTTCATGATTTACAGTGTTGTTTACCTGATCAGCCAAAGAATAATAAACTAACTACAATATGAAACAAAACTGCATAGCAAAACACTCTTTACTGCTTCATAAATGTACATGAAATAGTGAATCTATCTTAACACCTTAAACATCCAGGGCTGCCGGTGGGCCCAAAGTTTTGTTACACACTTCTATTATTAATATCAACTGTTTTGTAATTGACAAAACAATACTGTTCTGAGAACTACAGTGATGATGTTTTTGATGGAATGGGTTTATTGTGAGACATGTTTGCAGTGTTTTGGTAGCTGTAGCGCATTTAGCATAGAAAATGAACTGTTGTGCTGAGCTACATGTTTCATGAAAAGTTTTGAAAAAGTGAAAAAGTGAAAAATACTTCTCAGCGCTTACCAAAAAAAACTGTAAACTGCATTTTAGTTTGCTAAATCACAAGAACTACACTGGACAACAATCAAAGCCCAAATAATTATAATGGTTGAACAGACAAAATACTGATTGATTGATTGATTGATTGATTGATTGATTGATTGATTGGTTGGTTGGTTGGTTGGCTGGTTGGTTGGTTGTAAACAATTACAGTTGATTCCCATCTAGGCTAAAGTCCCACCCAAGTGTTTACCATTCATGAAAAGGCGTCACTTCTGGAGTTATGTTGGTTACAACGGATGTCTCATCTTAGATGCAACAATGTGTAAAAGCTAGAGAAGATATTAAGTGTGACTTGGATGAGAACATTTGGCCAAATGATGGAAACCAGGCAGACTAAGCATTTACTGTATCTGTGACTTAAATGTTCAAAGTTTCCCTTTTTCAAAACTCTTTATACAGTTAGCACAACAACACTCTGTTTGGAGCCATTAACAGTTTTTAGTTATTTCCTTTCCTTTCTACTGAAATGGTTTTATCCAACTCAAATAACTACTTTGAATGTAACAATGCAAAGCAAGATTTCAGTTTAGATAAAAAAAAACAATATTTTTTCACCAATTCAAACAATCAAAAACATCTGAAATCAATTTATGTCATGTTCCACTGTTTACAGTGTTGTTTACATGATTAGCCAAAGAATAATAAACTAATTTCAATATAAAACTAGAGTAAAATTTCACTACGTCACAGATTTACATAGATTTACATAAAATAGTAGTCTACAATTGGTAATGCCAACAGCTGTTAGAGTTTTAGGTGACTATGCACTAATTGACTGAGCTTTCCTGTTGCAAAAATACTAGTGTTGATGTTTTTTGCTTATGAGCTTATTTTGAGATATTTCTGCAGTGCCTTTATGGCTGTAGAGCATTGTAAAGGATGAAATGTTTGAGGAGTTTTAAAAAAGTAAACCTGGCACTACAAAATTCTTCTTAGCCACTGAATAAGTATTTGTTCCTATACAATAAATGCAATCCCATTTCCAAAAAGGTTGGGACACTGTGCAGAATGTAAATAAAAACAAAATTCAATTCTGTGCAAATCATTTAAACCCTATATTTCATTGAAAACAGTACAAAGACAACAAATCAAATGTTAAAACTGAAAAATGTTATTGTTTTTTGAAAAATATAAGCCCGTTCTAAATTTGTTGCCAACAACACGTTCCAAAAAAGTTGGGACGGGGGCATGTTTACCACTATGTTTCATCACCTCTTCTTTTAACTACACTCTCTAAGTGTTTGGGAACTGAGGAGGACCAACTGCTGTAATTTTGAAAGTGAAATGTTTTTTTTGCTTAACATTGGATTTCAGCTGCTCAACAGTTCGGGGTCTTCTTTGTCGTATTTTTCATTTTATAATGTGTCAAATGTTATCAGTGGTAACAGGTCTGGACTACAGGCAGGTCAGTTAGCACCTCAACTCTTTTAATATGGAGCAATGCTGTTGTAATACATGCAGAATGTGGTTTGACATTGTCTTGCTGAATTAAGCAAGGCCTTCCCTGAAAAAGACGCAGTCTGGATGGCAGCATATGTTGCCAAAACAGGTATATATCATTCAGCATTAATGGTGCCTTCACAGATGTGCACGTCACTCATGCCATGCCATTTGGACTGTGCACTAATAACAAGCTGAGTGGTCTTTGGCCCAGAGGACACAGTGTGCATGATTTCCAGAAAGAATTTCAAATGTTGATTCGTCGGACCACAGAACACTTTTCCACTTCCCCTCAGTCCATTTTCAATGAGCTTGGGCCCAGAGAAGGTGGCAGCATTCCACCTTTATTATTTATGATTTCTTCTTTGCGTTTTAGAGTTTTAACTTGCATTTGTGGATGCAGTGATGGACTGTTTTCACAGACAGTGTTTTTCAGAAGTGTTTCTGAGCCTATGCAGTGATTTCCACTACAGAACCATGTCTTTTTTTAATGCAGTGCTGCCTGAGGGCCCAAAGATCATGGCCAGCAAATACTGGTTTTTGGCCTTGTCCTTTGCATACAGAAATTTCTCTGAATCTTTTATTACCCACCATGTGTTTTTTTAGCATTACACAATTTTACCTGCTTTTTTATAATGTGTTGTTGGCTTTAAATTCAAAATGGACATATATTTTTTAAAAACAATAACATTTCTCAGTTTCAACATTTGATATGTTGTCTTTGAAGCATTTTCAAATAAATATAGATTTTAAATGATTTGCACATCTTTGCATTTTGTTATTATTTACATTTTGCACAGCGTCCCAACTTTCTTGGAAATGGGGTTGTATATATTATTCTGATTTGCAGTATTTGAAAAAAAACTATACATTATTTACATGATCGACCAAAGAATTATAGACTAATTACAATAAGAAACAAAACTACAAAGCGAGTAATTCTTTACAACTCTTTAGATTTACATAAAATATTGCGTCTACCTAATACCGACAGTTGTTATTGTTTCTGAGGTGAGTGCGCTCTGACTGAAGTATTCTTGTTGTGAGATCACTGTTGTTGGTGTTTTGATGGAATGAGTTTACTCTTGGATGTGTTTGCAGCATTTGTATAGCTGTAGAGCATTTTGGGTATAAAATGTATAAAATTGTGTGTTTCTGCAGAGAG